GTGTAGGGCAAAGGGGACAAAGAAAGAAAAGGTGTTGACCTCCCTTTGGTGCCGTCGAATAAGATAATAGCATCAAACCTCAACTTTTTATTTTTACATAATTTCTATAATAACAAACCTATTAATCCTCTGTAATGATTCTCAGTCATCCAGGTGATGGTTGTCCCAAAGGTGCTTTTTTTTCAGGAGGCCATTGGACTTTCTTGTTTTTTCTTTTGAAGACATTTCGCTTCTCATCCAAGTAGCTCTGCTGGCTGGAGAATTCTGGAAGTTGAAGTCCACAAGTCTTAAAGTTGCCAAGTTTGGAAACCTCTATTTTAGAGGGTTGTTGAAGCACTTGGAGGTTTATATGTGTCCTCAGGGACACCTGAGTAGTGCTAATGGTTCCTGTAATCTGCAATTTTTGTGGAAATCCATTCATACCTCCAGAACATTCAAAGGGTGTTCGTCCCAAAGTGCATAGCTAAAAGCTAAAGGACTTCTGAACAAATGTCCTTGAAGAAAAAACAAGAAAGTTCAGTTGCCTCCCGAAAAAGCACCTTTGGGAAAACCTATTAATCAGCAAAACCCAAAATCGATTTGATTTCTAGTTTCCAATTGACTCACATGGGCCAGAGAGGGACAGCCAAAAGCCTGGATGTGGCCTAAGGGCTGTAAAACATAGATAGTCCTTGACTTACAACAGTACGCTTAGTGACCGTTCAAAGTTACAGTGGCACTGAAAAAAAAAGTGACTTGCAACCATTTATCACCCACATCCCCATGGTCACATGGTCAAAATTCAAACCACTTGCCGGCTGACTCACATTTATGACGATTTGCAGTGCCCTGGGGTCACGTGATTCCCCTTTTGCAACCTTCTGACACGTGTGACTGACTAATTGATTCACTTAACTGTGGCCAGAAGAGTGGTAAAGTTGGGCAAAATTGACTTAACAACTGTCTCCCTTAGCCACATAGATTTTGGGCTCAATTGTTGTAAGCCAAGGACTACCTGTATCGGGTCTAGGGTGGATGCTGGGTCCTCCGCATAGGTGCGCATAGCCGTAAAAAACACCTGCCCAGGTTACGACTGATGAACCCAACCAAGTCAGCACTCCGAGACGATCAGATTTCTCAACTGTTTTATTCAGTACATCATTTTCGGAACGCCTGAAAGCACAACCAACTCTAAATATGTCCCGCGGTTTTTGTCAAATTGAAAGAATTGGATGTTCCCCTCCCTCTTTGTCACAGGTCACATTGTCCAATCAGGTGTCCTGGCATCCATCCGCCCCGACAACTCCTTCTGTAGTCTCCAAACAGCCCCTGTTGAGAAGACCTGGGTTCCCAACTGTTGTTATTGTCTGGTCTGACACTCCAAGCCTCTACACCAGGGGTGTCAAGCTCGATTACATTGAGGGCCACACCGGGGTTTTTTATTTATTTATTTATTTTGTCAATTGCTTACAAGATAATAGGTATAAGTAAAAACATAGTTATGAATACATGGATGGGTTGTGTTTGACCTGGGGGGGGGGGGGGGGCGTGGCCAGGGGAGGTGTGGCCAGCTTAATATCACTAATTGAGGCTCCGTTTTCAGCCCGCGATGGCCTCCTGAGGCCCTCTGCCAGCAAAAATGGAGCTCTGGGAGGCTGTGCGCGGCCCGCTTGGGCTCCATTTTTGCTGGCAGAGCCACCGCAAGCTAGTCCTTCACTGTTTCCAGGGGTGGGCCCACGGGCCAGATTGAAGCATCCCACGGGCCGGATCTGGTCCGTGGACCTTGAGTTTGACACCTTGCTCTACACACACACACACACACACACACACACACACACACACACACTGTGGCAAGCTGAGAAACAAAAAGATGGCTGCAGCAGCCTAGATGCGTTTCAAAGTAGACAGCACCTTCCTGAGCACCAGAGGCCACTGAATTTGGGGCCAATCACTCATCAGAGTTAACGCTGGCCTAACACTTTTGAATATACAAAATGCTTCACGTGCATTTACGAAGTTATGAGCTCACCAACGTATAAAGAAAGCTGGCCTCATTTCCCCCCCTTCCAAATTACAAAGAGGAAGAAGCTCTTTGACGAAGCCCACCTGGTGAGTTCATGACTGTTGGCCCTGGTTTGAAATGGAGTCATCTTGATTTGCAAATCCCCCCCCCCCACTTTAAAACCGTAAACAATAGATTTGGCATAATGACTTCTAAACTCTCTTCGCTTTGTTTTTGATCTCCGCATAGAATTTCCTCTTCTGATCGCCCAGTTTGACATTTTTCTCCCTATTTCCTTTCAGGTCATATACTGTTCTTTTGGTGGCACATCGAAAGGTCTACATTTCAATAACCTGATAGTAGGCTTAGTCCTGCTGACAAGGGGCCGAGATGAAGAGAAAGCCAAATGTAAGTATCAAGTTATTGCTCAAGCAGCTCATGGCTGTCCCATGGTGGCTTTTCCCAAAAGGCAGCTGGATTTTCTTGCATTTTTTCCTGTGAAAACATTTCCCCTTCTCATCCGAGAAGCTTCCTCAGTTCCGAACTGAAGAAGAACTGAGAAAAGAAGAACCAAAGCAGCTTTTTAGATGAGAAGGGAAATGTTTTCAAAGGGGAAAAAAAAAAAACCCAAGGAAGTCCAGTTGACTTTTGAAAAAAGCACTTTTGGGATAAGTATCAGTCATGTTTGGAAGAGAGAGAAGGCACAGGGAGATGGGTGGCCCAGCTCAGCTGGAATTTTCACAATTGTGTAGCTGAATTTGCCTGAAAAGGTATAGGGTTTCCTGTCTTCGTGGTGGGTTGGACTAGAAGACCTCCAGGGTCCTTCCTATTCTATTCTATTCTATTCTATTCTATTCTATTCTATTCTATTCTATTCTATTCTATTC